AAGTGAAGAGCGCGATAATGGCAATAAACGCTGAAAAGACAACTTTAATGTGTACGCGTCCAACCAACTATGCCACAGACCAAGCACCGTGCAGGGTAATTTGGACGTTGTACGTTCCAGGCGTCTTCACTGGCGAATATATTATGTATAATGACTTTCTCTTCACGTATACATCGCAGATAGGCAGGGTGACCCCATCACTGCTGTCTTCAGCAACCGGAATGTGTTTGACGTCAAGGCAGACAGTTGCTAGAAAAAGGTCGTGTAGGCGTTATTGACAGTATTTCGCCTACAAATAGGACATCAGTAACTTCAAGGATCCGTTATGACGAGGTAGTATGTTAGTTTGAAGACATAATGGGACATACGCAGTAAAGTGACAACACTTCAAAAAGTAGTTAATCAAGAACTACCAAAACATTTGTGATATCAACAGAAACATCAGATGAATTGGACTTCAATTTGTACAATTGCTAGTACAGACAGACTCAATGAAAACAGCTAATACCTTAATTTATGGTATTTCCTTGACGACAAGAGAGTATTTAGCTGTTTATGATGTGGAATGTTACAGCTGACAGCGCTATCTTACTCTGGATCACAGCACATTTGACTGTTCATGATGTCATTTTTCCCCAAGTGGTATTTTACTGTTGACAGTGTCAGTTTACTGGCGCCATTAACTCTTGATCTGACAGCTGTCAGTCTTAACAAAATAGCAGCCGGGAAAGGCGTAAAGTCACGTAGCATGCGAGAGAATACAGAATAAACCTGGGCGAACAAAGGATAGTTATAAGTAAACCTGGGCGAACAAAGGATAGTTATAAGTAAACCTGGGCGAACAAAGGATAGTTATAAGTAAACCTGGGCGAACAATGGATAGTTATAAGTAAACCTGGGCGAACAATGAATTGTTTTTAGTAAACCTGGGCGATCAATTAATTGTTATTATTAAACCTGAGCGAACAATGAAATGTTCTTAGTAAACCTGGGTGAAGAATGGCTTGTAATAAGTAAACCTGGGCGAACAATGAATTGTTATTAGTAAACCTTGGCGAACAATGGATTGTAATTAGTAAACCTGTATGAACAATAAATTGATATGAATGTTTAGATGTGATGGATACCAGAGCTTGGTAGGATCAGTCTCATTCAATTCAAAAATATTTTTGAACAAAAGGTCCATCGAATATTGCGTCCTGCACGTGACCTTGGTGTAGTGAAGGTGCACAGTATAACGTTATTAAAGTGGAGTGTGTTCATGTTAAAGCAGCATCTTCAATACACATTCGTGATAACATTTATGCAAGTTCATCAGAATTCCAATCATTGTTTTGAAATCTTCATTTTCTGTCTGTTTTCATACATCCCTCTGGAATAATTGTGTTGCTGGGTTTTACATATTGGTTGAACGATATCTGACAAAGGTTCCTTGCTCACGCTAACATGTTTCCCTAAATCACCGTGCTGAACATTAATGACATAAATTTGAGTGTCTCCAGTCATTTGTGCGCAAGAAGACCAAGGAATTTTAACTTGAAACTGGCTCTGATACAACACCTGCCCAATAAGTCAAAGTGTGAGTTACGGTGTAGATATCCTTTATAGGTGGTAAATTGTCCTTCAGGTGGGGCAAAGCTCGCGCGGATCATTAAGACAGATATAATTTTATTTTTTTAACATTTATGAGATCATTATTACACTTGCCATGAATCACGTTGGGGCTATAGCAGTGGTTTCCTTTTTCATGATTAGAAAGACGACTAACGTGTTTCCTTTATCACTGTGATGAGGTCAGTCTTGTTACCCCAAAAATAAATTAAATTCTTTCCGATGCTTTAAAGCATACTAAATGTAAATATAAAGTGTTGTTAAATTATGAATCCTCCATGTAACATTTGTATCCTGTATCCGGTTCTAATAAGTTGGAATGTAGTAAAACATTTTTACAACCTTGATTATTGTTTGTAGAGGAACATTCATTATAATGCGTCACTGTTTGTAAACCGTGAGAGATTCATCATTACAATCATTGTAGGGCATCGCTGGTCGGCACCATGAGATACATGGATACATGGTGTTAATATTGAGGGAGCCATCATTGTAAGGCGGTACTAGTTGTGACCCGTGAGACGTGTTGTACGTGCTACCATATGGTTATGGTCCATGTCCTAGCTCATTGCACACGCACTCAGTCGTGTTATGGATGCTGCAGGGTCTGGTAACACTGAATAGGCATGGTTAGTTTTTGAATACACATGTACTTAATCGTACACTAATTGCAAGGTCCTTATGGTACGCACTTGTTAAAATGATTTTAGTGTAGTGAGAATAAAGATTTTGGTGGTATTGTAGATGTTAGAATATGTATGGAAATATACATATACCGATGGAATTTTTATTAAGAAAAAAACTACCGCCAAAGCTACATGTTTATTGAATTCGACAACGCAAAGGACGAGTAAATGAAATTCGGAAAACAGTGTTGGGAATAATTGTGTTTCATCCTCAAAACCTAGAGAATCGTATGCATTTTTTGTTCTGTACAAGTTTTTTTCAGAATTTTTCATGCATACTTCGCCGAATCCTCCTCCACAGATATTGTCATGCGCATGCGCTCTATTTAGCTTAGTGTAGTTTATAGTTCCTTTACGTCCTTTTAACAGCCAGAGTCATTTAAGAACGTGCCAGATTTGGGTGGTTGATGATGGAAAACTAACGACCAGAAACATACGTAAAAGCTATCCTCTGAAGTACGTACATGTACGACGTGTTCATCCTCCTCATGTACAATCTAGAGACGACACAACGATTTTGAGTAACTTTCGATTATACATCATAACGTGTAATCAGTTTCCATCTCTAGTACTACCACTATAATCGCATTTATCCATACCCTTAATTGGTAATAGGTTAATAGTTTATCTGTTGTTAGGACGTTATTGACAATATCTACGAACTAGGACAGACATTACATTTTTTACTAAATTTTCCAAATTTACGTTGTAAAAGACATTGTTAAAATGTTTTGAATCAGCAATATCAGTTGTAAGGTCACGTAACATGGAGTAAAATGTAGCAGCCGTAATTCATGTTGATGTAAGTATATCGTCTACTTCAATCTTACCGTTTGATAAACCCATTAATGTCGAGCCTGATAAACAGGAATGGAGTCTATGAGACAGTAGAGGTGCTGATAGCAGCAGAACGGATTCTTTAGTGGCACTATCAAATGACAATCATTACTACTACAACACACAAGGTCTGCAGCAAACTTACATACCCTAGATAATGACATGTCGCCCTACACAAACCTACATATTCTGGATAATGACATGTCGCTCTACACAACCTTACATATTCTAGATAATGACATGTCGCTCTACACAACCTTACATATCCTAGATGATGACATGTCGCTCTACACAACCTTACATATTCTAGATAATGACATGTCCTCTACACTAACTTACATATCCAAGATAATGACATGTCGATGAATACAGAATGTCATATGTGATCTTACTTGTGATTGGTGGATTTTGTATGTGATCTTACATGTGATTGGTCTTTTATGTGCGTGCTCTTACAATCAATTTGATGTTTATGTATGTGCTTTTACGTAAGATTGATTGTGTATGATTGTGATCTTAAATATGACTGGTTGATTATAAATGTGATCTTAAATGTGATTGGTTGTTTATAAATGTGATCTTAAATGTGATTGGTTGTTTATAAATGTGATCTTAAATATGACTGGTTGTTTAGGTATATGATCTATTCACCAATACAGCCATGGTTTTGTATGCAAGTTATTACATGTGCGAGGGGCGCTCATCAAATGCGTGCACAGACGAGTATAGCGTGCAGTGGCACTAATGAAATCTGCATTTTTGTGTATCAGTGATAACATATTTTTATGGTATTCCAGATGTGGACAGAGCACTCGCCTATACAGGTAACGGAGTACAAAACATTTTGAGAGTTTGACTAACACTACGTAGAAGAAGTATAAGCCTGACATCAGGTCATAGTGCGGGAGACGAGACTTGTTCATACTCTACTTTATATTTAAGTTTTGCCCGAGCCATAACTCCGAAGAGCGGCAGCCTCAGTATCGACCCATGACTTCCGTTTACCACGGTCTGGTGTGCTGCCCTACAATCCATTACGACTGTAGATGGTGAGGTTTATGACCGAACTCACAAGTCCTACTCGAAAGTTATTGGATGAACGCTTCGTGGCCAGGTATCATTTTCACTCCCAGTCTTCGCAAGGATCCCTGATGGCAAATGAGTCCCCGGCAGTTTCATATCTTTATTGTTTTATCGCCTTACTTCATTCTATATGGCAATATATAATTAAAGTAGACAAACCTCGCCTATCAATCATCCCCAGTCGTAACGACTCAAGACCTGTAATGTTTCTCAGTACGATCATTTTTATCTTTATCGGCCCTTTTATTTCAGCTTAAGTCATTCGCGATAGATAACTATATGGATACGTATCCCAAGGTTTAGAACAAACTATTGTGAGGATTGGTGAACCTCTTCAAAACAAAAGTTCCTTCAAATTTACATCCTGTTGAATGATGTAGGAAGTTACGAGAATTACAATATTTTTTATTTAACTTTTATAGCTTTCTTGTCAATAGTCTGTTCTAAAGAGGCAGAGTCGCCATCTGTACACTAAGTAATGGGATTGAACACATTTTCTACAGGTCCCCGTACCATCTGTTACCATTCATTACAAAAGGAAATTGATTTCCGCTTCCGGTGAAGAATTAATGGGCGTAACAGTAGAACTACATCATTTTTACTTCTCATATGATGCAGTTGATATATGATAATTGAAAAGAAATTGCTTCGTCAACTTATGCCGTATCCATGTGAAGATGAAATCAATACACTGACATCCAAGAAGACAGATCACAAACATGACTTCATGTTTTACTGTATTTGTTTGAACGTACCGTAAATAACGTAAATAAGCAGTCTTACCTTGAGATAGCTAAATCCGCCTTTTGTAGAGAGATTTGGGCCCATCGCTGTGCCGACAAAACCGCATTGTCCACCCGTTCACGTAGTTTAGAAGTCCTGATCAAGAATAATTTATTTTTCTTTCCTGATGATATTAAAACGTTGTTTTTATATTTCCCTTCCTCTCTTGCACCATCCTTGAATGTTGTCACTCCATATCCGTATTTCTTATTGTTATACCACTCGCCTTCGTACTTGAGTCCGTCGGACCGTTCACTAACACCGAAGCCTGAACGCTTGTCGTTTTTCCACTCCCCCATATACGTTTCTGTCACGTTAATGTCCGTGATGTCATCCTGGCTTACAAAACTTAAATTACTATCCGTGTACATAGAAGCGTTCGTCATTCCGGACTGCGTCGAATCGGCACTCACGTGACTTATGTTACTGATTGTGCTGCGTACAGAGCCAGTCTGACGGCTGGGCGAACTGTTGATGTCACCTGTGCTTTTTTGCTTTTTGAGCTTCAGACCTGACATTAGAGTTTTCCGTAAACTAGACCTACCCTGCTTGTCGAATATAGAGCGCCGCCTGCTGGGGGGCGTTTCGTCGCTCTTGGCTTTAAGCACGAAACCTCCGCGGCTCTCATCAAGTTTTTTATCACGATTTTTCACCACAATTTCGTCTTCGTTTTCACTGCGCAGTGACGTCAGTGATGCTCTTAACGTCTTAGGTCGGTAATGTGACGCCAGGCCATAGGGCACGCTTGCGCGAACACCATAACCGTGACGCATTCCTCTCAGCCATTGTCCATGGTACGTTCCTGTAAACAAACGGAACCAGTAATTAAATATAGTAAGGTACCGTACCGGAAACATCTCCTTAATAATCAACGAAATCAATGAGGAAGGCAAACTATAAAACTAAAACTGAAATCATGTAAATACCAAGTACACGAAGACATTTTAGGGAATAACAGGGAGTGTAGAATTCAGCTCAAGAGCGGTCATTCATGTCACTGTTGAAACAAAGGTAGATGTTTATAGACCTGATCTAGATTTGAGACTGTTGGTCCCTCAAACAATTCTGAAGTTTTACAAAAAAGCAACATACATCCTGTTTAAACCTACCCTTACATGTATATTCGGAACACCCTGACAGGTGCCGGACATGTACCTATTCAGAACACCCTGACAGGTGTTCGTTTTGTATATAATTGTCAAGCTGTTTCCTGTTGCGGAGTGTTTCTACGTAAGGCAACAATTTGGTCGTTCAAAAGTTTTGAATCTGATTGCCAATTGCTTCAACAACATCCTTGTTTATTCTCTTCGGAGTACTCGGTCACCTTTATCACACAAATGACAAGTGACAAGCCTATTAACACTGACCTAGTTGGTAGATGTTAAAACAATTATAGAAAAGAATACACAAGATTATGACCTGTTGCCAGTCTGCTGTGTGTTGACCTTCATGTATAACATTTGTGATCTGTTGCCAGTCTGCTGTGTGTTGACCTTCATGTATAACATTTGTGATCTGTTCCAGTCTGCTGTGTGTTGACCTACATGTATATTTGTGATCTGTTCCCAGTCTGCTGTGTGTTGACCTACATGTATAATATTTGTGACCTGTTGCCAGTCTGCTGTGTGTTGACCTTCATGTATAACATTTGTGATCTGTTCCCAGTCTGCTGTGTGTTGACCTACATGTATATTTGTGACCTGTTGCCAGTCTGCTGTGTGTTGACCTACATGTATAATATTTGTGATCTGTTGCCAGTCTGCTGTGTGTTGACCTACATGTATAATATTTGTGATCTGTTGCCAGTCTGTTGTGTGATGACCTACATGTATAACATTTGTGATCTGTTGCCAGTCTGCTGTGTGTTGACCTTCATGTATAACATTTGTGATCTGTTGCCAGTCTGTTGTGTGTTGACCTACATGTATATTTGTGATCTGTTGCCAGTCTGCTGTGTGTTGACCTTCATGTATAACATTTGTGATCTGTTGCCAGTCTGCTGTGTGTTGACCTTCATGTATAACATTTGTGATCTGTTGCCAGTCTGCTGTGTGTTGACCTACATGTATATTTGTGATCTGTTGTCAGTCTGCTGTGTGTTGACCTACATGTATAACATTTGTGATCTGTTGCCAGCCTGCTGTGTGTTGACCTACATGTATAACATTTGTGATCTGTTGCCAGTCTGTTGTGTGATGACCTTCATGTATAACATTTGTGATCTGTTGCCAGTCTGCTGTGTGTTGACCTTCATGTATAACATTTGTGATCTGTTGCCAGTCTGCTGTGTGTTGACCTTCATGTATAACATTTGTGATCTGTTGCCAGTCTGCTGTGTGTTGATCTATATGTAGAACATTTGTGATCTGTTGCCAGTCTGCTGTGTGTTGACCTTCATGTATAACATTTGTGATCTGTTGCCAGTCTGCTGTGTGTTGACCTTCATGTATAACATTTGTGATCTGTTGCCAGTCTGCTGTGTGTTGACCTTCATGTATAACATTTGTGATCTGTTGTCAGTCTGCTGTGTGTTGACCTACATGTATAACATTTGTGATCTGTTGCCAGCCTGGTGTGTGTTGACCTACATGTATAACATTTGTGATCTGTTGCCAGTCTGTTGTGTGATGACCTTCATGTAGAACATTTGTGATCTGTTGCCAGTCTGCTGTGTGTTGACCTTCATGTATAACATTTGTGATCTGTTGCCAGTCTGCTGTGTGTTGACCTTCATGTATAACATTTGTGATCTGTTGCCAGTCTGCTGTGTGTTGACCTTCATGTATAACATTTGTGATCTGTTGCCAGTCTGCTGTGTGTTGACCTTCATGTATAACATTTGTGATCTGTTGCCAGTCTGCTGTGTGTTGACCTATATGTAGAACATTTGTGATCTGTTGCCAGTCTGCTGTGTGTTGACCTTCATGTATAACATTTGTGATCTGTTGCCAGTCTGCTGTGTGTTGACCTTCATGTATAACATTTGTGATCTGTTGCCAGTCTGCTGTGTGTTGACCTATATGTAGAACGCTTTACTTCAAGCTCTTCTATCGATTTCCCATTAGCCGTTAAAGTGCTTTTTGAATACAAAAGTGTTGATGACGTCCTGATTACCATACAGAACGTGAAAAGGTTTAAACTTAACGATCACGATAAACCGTTTGCCATGTCATCACACACTCTAGTATTGCATTATATATTGGTATGACTAGCACATTTGTTGGCCGGGGTAATATACCAGACAAACAGATGGATAGCTGACAACTGTAAACATTAGGAAGAGAAATCCAGGGCTGGAGTGTTGTAGGCTGTCTATTTTATAATTCATGGAAAGTGTGAAAATTGTTCTGCTGTTAAAGTTGTGGATTATCCATCAGTGGACATTAAGGTTTCATGTTTGACATTTTATTATATAATTTGCAAGTACAATGTATTATAAACTGAGAGCTAGACACCCGACAACAAAACCAAATTGTGTTTTATCAAAGACAGTATGTGTATCGTTACGGTTGGTCATGAACCCTCCAATGTGTGGTGTCTAGTTTGACTATTAAATATCCAAATTGAAAATATTTGTCATATTTACACGCTGATTCACATGTTTAATCAGATTTTCCTGCACACATAGCGATCTTGTATTTTATATTCAAACCAGCTGTCCATACACGTGACTGATCGCTTCACAATGGTGGCGTTATGGAAATAATTACGCTAACCATTAGCGGTGTGAAGATGGAATACACATTCACACAAGAGAGTGTTGTAGTTCAATATCATTCCCCAGCCACCACAGACGTGGTACTAGGCTGGACAAGAATATTAGGTCGTATTTGCCCATGAATATTCATATAGAAGGATACATCAGGTAGATTAATTAATTAAACGGGAATAATACGAACGAGTTTCGGGGCAAATAATTTGATATGTAAATCGTAACACGATATAAATATCGATATATGACCGCAATTTCATCTGCTGGCGTCACTAACTGATATAAATCCGGTTATATATATGGAATTCTAGTCATATAATAAAATAGGTTTTACCCACTTTTCCTTTGAGGGTATTTTGGAACGTATACCGATTGCAATATGCAGTTCAAGTTTTTTTTTCGGAAATTGTGAGCAATGTGTTTGATTATATCTACTACCTCACATAGTTACATTGTCCCCTAACTAGACAAAAGAATGCAACATAACGTCATTCTCACAGCAGCCGTGGATAAGTTCACAAGTATCACAATGCCATTATGGTAACCGAGTAACCATCACCATATCTTCAGGGTAAGTTATCCACATCCTACTTATTATCGTACTATATATAACGAAATACAAATGCTAGTAGTCATAGAGATGAGAATCAACATCACGAGTGACCTTTGGTCAAATGACTGGAGGTCTCATTACGACCAATTATTAGCCTGACTTGGATTTACGATCGCGGAGTGTTGACCATCTGAATTGGTATAACAGTAAACACTAATTAGTCAGCAGTAGTCCAACACCTGCTTCACGGCAGAGACCGTAATTACCTACCCGGCCTAATTACATAACACTAATTGGTCGGAGCTCATTAGTCCGGATTTACAAGTACGTAATTACAGGGGCGATAATCAGTGGCTGACCGGAAGTTCGCCTTCTATATACAGATACATTTCATTCACTAGATTTTACACTGAAAGCTTCTGAATACGTGTATCGTTGAAGCAATGCTTGTGCTTATAAAGCTAAACGTCTTATGAAGCAATGTTTTATGAGATAATACGTCTTTAACGATATCCGGAGCTCGAAATTAGCTGAGCACATCAAAGCCCGGCCGCAAGAGTAATAATGATTCATTTGTGATAATCGACAAGACAAAGTTTAGATACTAATCATACCGAAAACAGCTTCTCTAAACGTATCACTGAAAGTCAACACCGCCAACAAGCTATTGGTTTGACTTTATAGTCTGACAAAGCATACACGCCCAAATGCTATCTTATACCTTTCGTGTGTTAAAAGGGGTGTGTATTCATTGCGGCTACTTAAAACGTTAGACGCCCTCACACATACACCACTAACCAGGTGGCGCTGAACCTCCGGCAGTGAGGCAGGGTAATAATTAGGATATTGGCGGTACTGTTTTTTATCGCTTGATGAGGAAGTAAGCAGTTAACCTCTGTTTGACGGGCTGAGTAGCAATACACATCTTCATGCCATATTTTCTATAAGTTCTTATATACGGTTATTCGCAGTCAATTCGACATGAAATCAGTCAATTACGATAAAATGCCACATCGTTCGGTTTGTATCCTCTCATCCATTGCCGAAACACAACAATATCTAGCTTGTATTGTTTTCCCGGGTAAACGCTGTCATTCATAATATATATATTATATATATATATATATATATATATATATATATATATACACATGAGTTTCGTCTTCATACCGGATATCTCAAATCTAATCAACCTTGGAAAACATCAGTACAGTGTATTTTCATCAGTTCATCATATTGAGACACATATTAGTTCATTAAAATTCCGATGAAATTGTAATATTTTCATTCTTGCAAAGAGAACATCAGATACTTAAACATGTACTTCTGAAGTTGTCATTGTGAAGTTAGGAAATTTCTCAAATATCGACAGCGATTTTTGTGGTCATGATAAGGTAAAACTGTCCGACATTAACGGACGTAGTAATATGTCCCCAAGTAGTCAACACTGGTTTACCTAACATTCACATCGTCTTTTCCTGTTTCTGCATCTAAATTGTAATAAAAAGAAAATTTTACGGTCCTCATGAAAAATACA